ATGTTGTTGGTTTGCAAGGCAAATCCCAGGAATGACAATCATTGTATGGCAGTGACTACTAAAAGAAGAAAGCAAATTATGTTAGCTATTATAGGTGATGAAGATGAGATTAAGGCAGAAATTAGTGGAGAATAGAGTGATACAAATGTAGATGAGAATCTTGATATAGTGCCTAAGTCTCCAATAGTGCTGGTCACTAAAAAGGGGAAGGAAAAGAAGGCCCGGAAGCTTTTGTCTCGTGTTCCTAAGACGACTCATCCCTTCTTCCCACAATGTTTGAAGAAGAAAGTGGAAGATGACAAGTCCCACAAATTTATATTTGTGATGAAGCAATTGTCGATTAACATCCCTTTAGTAGAAGCACTTGAACATATGTTTGAATATGCAAAATTCATGGAGGATTAGGTTACCAAGAAGAGAACTGTGAGTTTTGAGCCAGTCAATAACATGCATCATTGTAGTGCAATTCCATCACGTTCTTTGATCTAAAAAAAGAGGATCCTGAGCATTTACAATTTTGTGTACTATTTTCTATTTTGATGACAAATTTATAAAATTTAGGGAAAATGTACAAGTATCCCCCTAGACTATGACCGAAATCCCAGAGACACACCTTAACTTACTAAGGTCCTATTACCCCCCTTGAACCCATTCTTTTTGTAATTTTGTGCACCTTTTTGGCTTACGTGGCATCCAAATATCTCCCACGCGTCTCAATTGTGTGGAGTCACAGAGTGTACCACATAAGACAAAAGGTGTACGAAATTACTAAAAAAATAAGTTAAGAGGGGTAATAGGACCTTAGTTTAATTAAGGTGTGTCTCTGGGATTTCGGTTATACTCTAGGGGGAGTACTTGTGCATTATCCCTAAAATTTATCAAATTAAGTTGCAAGATAACGTGTGCCCAATGATCTTTTATACCATTGATAGAAAAAATTATCTCCACCTTTTGAAAGACTATTTGGAGAACCCATAATGTTCTTTATTTTAGTCATCACAATGATAATTAAAATTATTTTGTCCTTTGCCACACGTATGTTCATTAATTTAACTATAATAATTATTTCTTCATAAATAAGAATTATCATGTAATGTTATCACATTTACTTTGGGGAGTGAAGCGAATTTAGTGGGACAAGTTTCAAGACTTTTCATCAAAAGTACATTAATTTTTTAGTCATCATTATATCATCACTATGGTACATTAGGACTTAAATTCAATGTTCACCCATATAAAAGTGTGTTATGCCATATTACGATGGAACTTGAACCTAATATTTTATCATCATCGTACATCAAAACTCTAACCCGATGTCTTAATCTCTTAATGTCATGAAACTTGGGATTATTTAGAGTTGATTTTGAGATGATTGAAATTGAATAGTCAGTGTATATTTCATGTATAGGTAGTGTATACTTTATGTATAGTTAAGTTATTTTCATCTTTTTGAGTGTATCATAATATATAGTTTGTGTATAATTCATATAAATGTAAGTTATATTGTATAATTAGTGTATACTTTTTATGAGTTTTGGCTAGCTATGTTGTATAGTCAATGTATACAATCTATGAATTTTGACTATCTTTTAAGCAAATAAAACATGACTATAAATTTTATGAACTTTATTATATATATTTGAAACTAACCCTAACATAAATCATACCAAGACTCAAAAATGATGTCACTACTAAGGCTGGGCACCGGATCGGATTGTACCGGTACCGTTTCGGTACCATTCCGGTCCGGTAGTCTTCGAGACGGAATGGGACACCGTGGACCGATACTCGGAATGGAACGGTATCACGATTTGATACAGGTGCCGGTTTATCCCGATTTATTTCGGTTTCGTTCCTGTCCGGTCCGGTTTCGATTAATTATTTTTTATTAATTAATGTATATTTTATAATTTTTATATATATATATATAAATGCATATTTTCAAAATTAAAAAAAATGGATTGGATTGATAATTTTTTAATTTGTGTCATTGTTTTATCCTTATTTTTATTTAATTTTTTAAAATTACATACTTAAGTTATTTAAATTACAAGTTATAAGTATAACTTATAACATATTAATAAGTAATAACTTATAAACTTCAAAAGATTCAAAATTTCAAATCTTGAAAACGTAAGCTCAAAAACTTTAAAACAAAAAAACTTTATTAAGCTTAAACTTGCAAATTTAATAAGTAAAAATTAAAAATAATATCTTTAAAATAAACTTAAGTAAAATTACATTATAAATTTCAAAACAATTAATTTAAACTTAGAAAAATAAACAAACATTAATATTTTCATAATTAAAAAAATCAAAATAACTAAAAAAAAATATTATTTTTTGAAATAGCTATATGTGTCATCCCGTTTATCCCATCCCGTTCCATTCCGGTCTGTTCTGGTTCCGTTCCGTTCCGGTCCGATCCGGTTCCATCCCGGTATATAGTGGGACGGGATGGAACTTAGTATCCATCCCGGTAATTCCGGTCCGGTTCATCCTGGTACCGGTCAACAAACCGGTCAAACCGTCCCGTTTCGATCCGGTACCGATTCATTCCGGTCCGGTGGTTTCGGTCCAGTCGGGTGCCCAACCTTAGTCACCACAAGTGGCCACGTATTTCTTGTACATAGAAAATTTTAAACAGATTTAAATTGTTATCTAATTCACGTACTCTCTCTATATGTCTTAGATATAATAGTTATATTATAATATTGATCAAATCAAGAATGATCAGGACTCAAATTACTTACATGTATTCCCCATAACCTCTATACTTTTCCATTGTAAACATACCACTTTTTCTCTTCCATATAATTGAAAAATAAACATCTCATTTTTGTCAAGTCTTTAAAGGAAACCTACCATTTCACACTTTGATAACTAACTTGGTTAACTTAAGTAGCAAAAAGATTCTTGCATACTATTTCAAACTTCAAACCATTCTGCACAAAACTCCAACCTTCTCAATAAAATCATATTAGAGAAGAGAGTAATCAAACAAAAATCCACAAAATTAAACTTTCACATAATGGGAAATTATCATCTTACACTTTTGGAAAACTCTAAATAACATAAACTCTCACATATCTACTTTTTCAAGATATTTATGTAAGACTTTAGAGTTACGTGTTGATATTGTGTTATCAAATTATAAAATATTTTTTTAAAAAAAGAGAATATATTAGAAAATAACAAAAGAGAAAAGTTTTTTTTTTATTTCTCTTGTTGAATTAATCTAAAGGAAAATCTCTTTATTTATAGGGGAAAAAACTAATTCGATCCCAAAATTAGATTCCTAACTTAGCTTTTTCTCAAAAAAACATATAAAAAAATATTTACTATGATACAAATATATTTATAAGACACAATACAAATCTTTAAAAAAAAAAATATTTAACACTTATATTCCATTTCTCTCCTAGTTGACCCAAGAACTACGTGACAAGATATCATTTGGAGTCTTGATTACCAATATATGCAAGCGTAATTAACTTCAATTATCATGTGATTAGGTCATCCAAAAGATGAGCGCTGCCGCCATGGCCACCGGTCAGCTATCCAAGGAGGCTGGTCAGCTTTCTATGACAGAATTCCCACATCTCAACCCTAAAATGCCTATCATAGCTACTAGTTTCCCTATGGAGAAGTCTTATATTAATTCAATTACAAATGGTACTCCTACATCAATACATAGTGCACTTAAGGAAGTAATATATGTGGAAGGCATTCCACGTATTCAATGGACGGAGGCAGACGTGGATACTATGAACAAAATTGAAAATTTGCAGTATGTGGTCGTTGGCAAATTTACATATGATGTAGCTGATCTGGAAGAGCTACGATTGATAATTCCCAAACAATGTAATATTAAAGGGGATTGTCAAATTGGGCTAATACTACTCAACAAACACATTCTTATTAGGCTTACTCAACATGCAGATTTTGTTAATCTTATCTCGAAAGGGGCATACTATATTGAGTGCAACGATGGATATTCATATCTTATGCGCACATTGATCTATGATGCACGTTTTAATATTAATGAAGAAACCACTATGTCAATGGCTTGGATCTCTTTTCCAAACCTATTGCCAAAAAGAAAGTTTGTTTTCTTTGGCATATGCAATGGGCAAGCCCGTACAACTTGATCTAACGACAATTAATAAAACTAGACCAAGTTGTGCGAGGGTGAAGGTTTTGGTGGATTTGAAAGGAAATTTTCCTAAATCGGTTATGATAGATATTGTAAATGAGAAGACTGGAGAGATGCGATCTGAAGAAATTCAAATTAGATATGATTATGTTCCTAAATATTGTTTGGAATGCAATATGCAAGGACATGACAAAAAGGAATGTCGACTTTTGATAAAAAAAAAAGAAGCAAGAGATAGTGGTGCTAGAAAAGAAGATTAGAGGCAAGGAGGAGGAAAGAAAGACGATGCACTGGAGAATACTGGAAAACCTGAAAGACCTTGGGTTCACTACTTTAGAAAAGAAAAAACAAAGATGTTATCAAATGGACTGGTAGTTGGAGACCCGGGTACATGGAGAGTTGTGAAGAGTAATAGATTTGCAAGTCTAGTGCTAACATTCCCAATCCAGTTATTACAGCCAATGTACATGAGCGTAAAGAGACAGGGGAGGTGATACAACAAAAGGAAACAACTAAAGATTGGGTCAACCAAGTCTTTGGCAAAACATCAACTGATCAAGCCAATGGATCGGATGTCAAAGAAATTCCTGCAAATGAAAAAGACATCAGTAATAAGAAACAAATAACAATGGATAAAATTGCAGAAGAAGAAACAAATGCAAAGGAGGTTAAGGAAGTAACCACTGACAATTATCAATCAATAGAACAACCATTAGCATAAGACAGTGGTGGTATTGAGAATGAAAGTGATAGTGAGCAAGTAAACAACAAAGAAATAACAATATTACAAAGTCATCAAGTAGTGCAACATACAGAGGAGGTAGCCAACGACAAGGCTATCATTATGGTACCAAATCAAACAGATGCTATTCAAGTCATATCTCCCATTAGGGTATTACATGATATAGTGTCTCATAACTTGGAAGAGGGGAAACTATTGGTCTTGGAGGATATTCAGGCTAAAGGTGTATCAAAAGTTGAACATTCCAATGAGGAAATGAACTATCTACCACAGGAAGCAGACTTATCCCCAAAGTTATTGAAAAGCTCAAGAAAAGGGAAGCAACAAGCAAGTGGAGTGGAGAATCAATGTATCAGGGTGCAGCCAAAGAGAAATAAATCAAATATTAAATTATGAAAGCTCTAATTTGGAACATTAGATCGGTGAAATCCCAACAAGATTTCCATAGAGTGCAAACGTTGCATAACTTTCATAAATTTTCTTTCATTGGTTTATTGGAACCTTTTCAACATACCAGACACATTAACAAATATTGTAGAAGACTGAAGATACAGGTGGTGAAGGCAAACTGTAATGGCAAAATATGGTGCTTTGTCAATTCAGATTTTGATATTACAGTGGTCAAGGCTACTGAACAACAATTGACATTATGCTTAAAACATCACCACCAAAGTCAGAAATGGCTTATTACATTGGTCTATGCTAAATGCAATGCTGAGGATAGACTAATGCTTTGGGAAGATATATATCAACTATCAACAGATATGGATAGCCCTTGGTTAATAGGTGGGGATTTCAATGTCGTCTTGAATGCAGAAGAAAAAATTGGTGGATTGCCAATCCATGATACTGATCATGAAGATTTTGATATTTGTATCCATAGTTGTGAACTAGCAGAAATTCAATTCAAAGGAAGTCCATTCACCTGGTGGACTGGAAGAACTGGAATGATTGTTGGTTTACTCATATGGAGGTTGAACATCTTGCTAGAACAGGATCTGATCATGCCCTTATGTTACTACACATGGAGGAAGGGGTGATTGGACATAGGAAACCTGTTAGGTTTTTGAACTTCTGGACTGAAAATGTTGTTTTTACTGAAGTTGTGAGACAGAATTGGGTGGCTAAGGAAAATCTGAATCCTTTTATATTATTTAAGGAAAATATCAGAAGGGTAAAAAATGCCTTGAGTAAGTGGAGTAAAGAGACTTATGGTGATATTTTTAAACAATTAGTGATTAGAGAAGATATTGTTAAAGTTAAAGAGCAATTGTTTGAGGAGGTTCCCAGTGTTGAAAACAGAGCAGTACTCCAGAAGGCTCAGGCAGAACACAAGAAATACTTGTACGTTGAAGAAACTTTTTGGAGACAGAAGGTTGGATTTGACTGGTTTGGGAAAGGGGACAGAAATACAAGATTTTTTCATAGCATTGTGAAGGGTAGAAGAAAGAGACATCAACTTAATAGAATTCAAGAAAGTCAGGGTGCTTGACTAGTGGAAGAAAATGAAATAGTAGCAGAGGCAGCATAATTCTATGCTAACCAATTTCTTCAAGAGAGATGTTATATCCTTTTCACTATTGAGACACATTCTTGTGAGTATTACAGAAGAGGAAAACGAAGATTTGTGTAGAGATCCTACTCTTGATGAAGTGAAGAGAGTTGTTTTCAGCTTGAATGGTGACAGTGCTGGTGGCCCTGATGGTTTGACAAGTAAATTTTATCAAAGCTGTTGGGAGATAATAGGTCCAGACATTTTCAGAATGGTCCAAGAGTTTTTTAGGGGTAACTCTCTACCCAAGTCATTTACTCATACTAATTTGATCTTACTTCCCAAAAAAGATTAGATTAACACTTTTGTTGATTTAAGGCCAATTAGTTTGAGTAACTTTATCAATAAGATCCTTTCTAGGTGTCACGCCCCAAGCCTACACCCTGGGCGGGACTGGCACTCGAAGACCATTACTGGCCCCAAGCGAACCCTTGGCCTGACTTACTTAACTTAGCGAAAGACAATATGCATATTAATAAAGATCAATAGTGCTTAACTGAACTGAATACAAAAATAACTGAGAATGCTTAAAGGTTAAACATTCAACTTGGCCAAAAGTGGCAACCCAAGTCTTAACAATAAGAAGTGATAATGAAAAGACTCAAAGGACTAACATTTGATTGTCTATGAAGCCTCTAAAACAATTGAGATGGATGTTGGGACAAACCCCACAACATCCTAATGAACTGACTAGAAAACAATGAAAATAGATCCTCTGGAATATAAGGAGGCTCACCGACTGACTTTGAACTGCTCGTTGGATCAACGGTGCGCTGGAATGTTGATCCTAGTTACCTGTGTCTGTATCATAAGATGATGCAGGCCAACTGGCATCAGTACATTGAATGTACGAGTATGCGAGTTGAAATGCTAAAACAACATAGGCTTGAAAGAGATTCTGAAAGAAATAATTACCTTGGCTCTTCTCAACTCATGAATACTTAACTGAACTCATTTCAATATCAAGTAGTTTAAAACAAGTGCAATATAAAGAAAAAAAAAAGAAAACTGTTTAAAACATGATGTCAACTCATAATCATAATATCATAAAAGACATACCATGATCCCTCTCAAAGTCTACTTGTGCAATGCATGAATGAAGTCTCATACCCCTATTCATACTAAGCAGAACCCCTTGAGGAACCATACAATTACTACTGTGGGAGTTTCTCTAACCGACAACCATCACATAAGAGCTATTGTGATGATACAACGATCTTTCTCACGCTGCCAGCGCATCCTATACCCGGCCAAAGGTATAGGACCTGAATTACTAAGTGGATCCACTAGTTTATGTGAAAATGATTCATCTAAAAAGTATGACCCTTTTGTACCCATGATGGCTACATGGTTTAAGGGGGTTGATAGTTACATGAACTCTTCCCCATCGGTGCTCAATACTACTCCCAAAAATATTATATTATATTAGCTCTTTGTGTTTAAAAACATACTTCTTCTGTGATTTGAGATTAGTGCTCAAAAACTTAGCTCAAAGTCTATCTTAGAAATCAAAGTTTCCCCTCTTGCTTCATTTAGAAAGAGACTACTCTTTTCTGAAAACTAGCCCAGTGGCTCTTTGGAAATCTCAATTTCCGTTCTTATTTTAAATATGAAAACATTTTAAATCTCTTTGGAATACTTAGTCCCCATATACTTTTTGAAGAAATGAACTTCAATCTATACTCTTTACTCTTTACTCAACTTGAACTTTAAGTCTTAAAACAAGGTTAAAAACATTTGCAAAAGACTTCTTGAAAAGACTATGAGAACTTCGTAAACTTGGCTCTTGACTTTCCTTGACTTAGATCCTAACTTTCCTTGAATTGGATTATGGATTCAAGGTTCATGATCTCATGTTTATGGATGATTTCATGATGTTTAGATGTACCTTAGAGTGTTGGAATCAACTAGAAAACATAAGTACATTGGTAAGGAACAAGTACGAAAAGATGGGGGAAGAATGGGAAGAACTGGAGTCCCTGGCGCTCTGAGAGGCGCGGGGCACCAACCCTCAACATTCAGAGAACAAGTTGGGGTGCTCTGGCTGGCGCGTCGCCCCAGAGCCCCACATTCAGGGACTGCTTTGGGGATCGCTGGCTGGCGAACGCCCCACTCCCTTCCTCAGGTGTTTGACGACTTTTCTACTCCGGTTTTCAACTCTAAACCCTCTAAACTTCAATGGTTCTTTCCCCAAAAACTTAGGATAATTTATACTCTCAATACATGATAGATTCAAACCGAAATTACACTCTGAAACATGAATCAAATCGCAAGAAACTTCAACAAAACAACCCATAAGAATTCAAACGAATTTCATCAAGAACTCAAAGGATTTACTTTCAAATCACACATATTTCACTGAATTGAATCATGATTGGCGCGTGGGTGAACTAAACCAATGCTATGTGATCTCACATACCTTGTAGGGATCACCCCCGATGAAATCTACAAGCCAAACTCGACGATCTTGACGAATCTTGAACGTTCTTTTCTTTTCTCCTTTTTTCTTTTCTTTTTTTCTCTTCTCTCAAAGCCCTAACTCTTTTGGTAAAAGTGTAAACTGATCTAATTCAGCTTAGACCCCTAATTAATTACCAAAAATAAATTAAAATAAAAGGGCAAGGAAAAGACCAAACTACCCCTTCAAAATTCGGATTGAACTTTCCTTAATTCAACAACCCAACTTCCAAAGGGCATAACTTACTCATACGAACTCGGAATCGTGCAAACTCGGCGGTGTTGGAAAGATAATTCCAAGAGATTTCCAACCATATCAAAGTACACCTAACTCCTACTGAGCTAGGAGTTATGACCATTTGAAGTTGACCAAAAACTCACTTTTCCTAGCCTAAACAAATTTTCAGATTTTCAATTCATTCCAAAAATGACTATTTCCAATTCTTAGCTTCTTCCTAGCTATTTCAAATTGCGAGATGTTACACTAGGGTTGTTCATGATAGATTGGAAGGCTTACTCCCCAGATTAATCTCTTCAAACCAATCAGATTTTGTGAATAGAAGTATTATTGAAAATGTGTTACTAACACAAGAGATTGTTACAGCTATCAAAAAGAGGGGTAAACCTTCAAATGTTATATTTAAGCTTGATATGGCTAAGGCCTATGATGGGGTCTCTTGGTTTTTCCTAATGAAGGTGCTAAGGAAGATGGGCTTTACTGAATCTTTTGTTGATTTGATATGGAGATTATTGGCCAATAATTGGTATTCTGTATTAATAAATGGGCAATCTCATGGTTTCTTTCATTCCACCAGAGGGGTGAAATGGGGAGACCCTCTATCCCCTGCATTATTTATACTGTCAGCTCAGGTTTTATCCAGGGCCCTAAATGCGTTATTTGAGGATAGCCCGTTTCAGGGATATGGAATGCCAAAATAGAGTGCTAATATAATCATCTAGCCTATGGAGATGATACTATTATATTTGCATCAGTCTACAAATATTCTTTGAAGAAGATTATGTCAGTATTGAAGAAATATGAGAATCAATCAGGTCAAAAGATTAACAGAGACAAGAGTGCCTTTTTTATTCACCAAAATGTAGCTGATGTTGATAGAACTCTGGTGGAAGAGTGTACATGTTTTAATAGAGGTCAGTTCCCTTTTAAATACCTAGGATGTCCTATCACTTATTCCAGGAAAAGAAAGGAGCATTATTCTGATCTTATTTACAGGCTTGGAAAGGAAATTTGTTATCTTATGGAGGTAAAGAAGTGTTGATTAGAAGTGTACTTCAAAGTGTTCCTATCCATGTCCTTTCTGCTATTGTTCCTCCAGTATGTGTATTAAAAGAAATCCATAGCATCTTTGTCAAATTTTTCTGGAGTAACAAAGTCAATGGTAAGAGCAAACACTGGCTGCCTGGAATAATATTTGTTTACCTAAACATGAAGGAGGTTTAGGTTTTAGATCAATGTTTGACATGTCTCAAGCTTTATATGCTAAACTTTTGATGGAGATTTAGAACTCAAAATTCTCTATGGTCAAGTTTTATGTGGAATAAATATTGTAAGAAGCAAATACCAAGTTAGTACAATGGAAAGGTGGATCACAACTATGGAAGAGTGTGCTGATGAATAGGGATATTATTGAACAATATATGTGGTGGCAACCTAAAGGTGGTACTTCTTCTATTTGGTTTGATAACTGGACAAGATTGGGTCCTGTTTTTGCACAACCTACAAAACATCAAACTTGCCATAACATGATTGATATTGAGATCTTCTTGAATGATAATAGGTGGGGTTATGATGAGATGCAAATGCACATACCAACTCATGTAGTGGAACATGTCAAACAGAATATGAAGTATGTGAGACAGGATGATGTTTCTGATAGGCCCTGGTGGACTAAAACTTGCTCTGGTAAGTTCACAGTCAAGAGTGCATGGGAGCTACCTAGAAAAAGAAAAATGGAGACTGATTTCTACAAGAAGCTATGGGTAAAAGGTCTTCCTTTCAAAATTTCACTCTTGACTTGGAAGGTGTGGACAAATAAAATCCCAGTTGCCACTCTAATGGCACAATAGAACTCAAATACCTCACCAATGTGTGGTTGTTATGAGGTTCCAGTAAGGGAGACAGTAGAACACTTATTTTTACAAGGGAAAACTACTAGCACTGTGTGGGCTTATTTCTCTAAAGCAGCTGGTTTACTGGGTCCATGGATTCAGGTGAAACAAGTGATAAGAAAACGGTGGGATACACATGGTAATCCTAGACAAAAGAGGGTCTATCAAGCAATTCCTAATGTGAACTTATGGTTTCTATGGAGGATGAGAAACACATTGCTACGTGGAGGTGCATACACTATCAAAAAGGTAATTTGGGATATTAGTAATACTATAAAAAATTTCATTGAGATGAAATTCAAGTGCACAATCATTCCAAATACTTGGCCCCAAATGGTAGCTCTATTGGAAGTATATAGACCTGTATTTCAGACTCAGGTAGTTAGATGGTTGATGCCACCTGTGGGGTGGTGGAAATGCAACACTGATGGGGCATCTAGAGGTAATCCTGGCCCAAGTGCAGCTGCATTTTGTATAAGAAATTCAACAGGTGACCTAGTAGGTGCTAAAGGGGTTAAAATTCAAGATTCTACTAGCATTGTGGCTGAAGCCATTGTTGTGAGGGAAGGGCTACAATAATACTGGGAACATGGTTTGATACAAGTTCTATTGGAGTTTGATTCTTATGCATTGTTGAAAATGCTTAATGGAGAATGGGATGTTCCATGGAGTGTGACTTTGGAAGTCGACTCCATTAATAGTCTGAGGGAATTGATGACAGTAAGTGTATGACACTCCTTAAGGGAGGGAAATACTCTTGCTGATTTATTTTTTTTTGCTAACTTAGTTTTTCATTTTGCAGGTACATTTGAGTTTAATCAGTTTCAGGAAGTTCCTAGAGTAGGGAAAGCTATAATAAATGCAGACAAGTATGGTTTTCCTCATCTGAGGACAAGACACATCATCCTATGTCCAACAATACATAGATTTATTGAATAAGTGATAAAATATTCCTAATCTAAGCAGGGCTATAAACCACTTCAATCTGAATTAGATTCGTTTGGTTACATATCATGCATCTGGTGAGAGTTTAAGGTGTCACAAGTGATATAAAACCAGGACAAGTGGTACTAGGCTTGTTTATGTCTGGGAGGTATTTTATTATGTTATTGCTTCAACAATCTAAGATAGCAGATGACAAATGGAGTTGTGTACCTTCGCTTTGTATCAACTATTATACTCGTCAAATCAGCCTCAAGATTTAAGTTCTTGAATTTCTGCACGATCTAATAAGTCAATACCTCACTTTAAGATCTAAGCTTAGGTGGTGGTATTAAAATTGTGGGATTCAACCCACCGAGTTTAGATTTGAGAGATGAGGTACAGACTTACCATTGTTGACATTGATGAGCCGTCACCTGAGTTTGAATCTAAGTCCTAAGATGGAAGAAAGATCAACATTCAAAATAGATAAAGATCGAGTTAGTGGGTACCTTTTCTCACTGGCATCAAGTTTCGATCTACCAGAGATCTATTCACCCACCTCAGCTGCTTTAGACGACAGAGAGGTCCCATCTGGGAGCTCAATTTGTGGAGCCTCACCCAGCTGCTGTTAGACGATCGAGAGGTCCTATCTGGGAGCTCAATTTGTGGAGCTCCATGTTTAATCGATAAAGAGGTCGTGGTGGAGATGTTATTCCAGAGGACTGACCTTTCCATCCCTTTTCCACTTTCTGTTTCTGATTTATTTGTTCATTTTCATCTATTGTTGTTTTTATGGACTTAGCACTTTGGGCTAAGCCTTTTTGTACTGTTATATCATTTTAATAAAATGGGCCTCCTGGGTCTTACAAATAAAAAAAAAATTCTCTCCTAGTTGACATGTCATGTCATTAAAACCTTTTTTTTTTTAATAATAGACTTATTTAATTCATCAAACCCATTTGACTAAAATTATAGTCACTATTTCTAAAAACAAATTACACTAGTTTATTAAGAAGAAATTTTCATACTTAAGAATCATTTATCATACTTAAACTTTATTTTTTTCTACTATGAAGAATAACTTTTTAACACTTACTATAATGCCATCAATTTTGAATAATTATAAACATATAAAATTTAAAATATATTACAAATTTAAAATATTCAATTGAAGTTCAAACTGAACGATGATATGCAACTCACTTCATGAACATTAACTTACATTATTTATTCATATTATTGTATAATTGATCAATAATATTAAGGCCAAACACCTCTCAAATTTTTCCTTATTTTTCATTTCAACACTCTATCTTAGCTTTATTTCATTTTAACCCTTCAATCCCATTTTTAATATATAATTTAAACACAAAATACAAATTTATTTCTTTATTTTTAAATAGGCTCTTCAACTATAATTTTGCATTTAGATATCGACATCCATCTGTTAGCTTTTGTAAAAAAAAATGACAGTGGAACATCAATTTTTTGAGAGTTTCTCTATATTTTTACATAAAGACAGTCGATGAAAGTGAGTTAATTTTCTTTCTTTAACAATCAATTAAATTAAATAATATCATGTATTTTATTTATTTAATATAAAGGCTATCTGAATTTAACTCAAATACTAGAGCCTTCTAATTTTTTAATTCAACTCAATAGGGATAAAAGGAACTCATCTTCAATACAATAAAAAAAAGACTTGTTTATTTATTATAACAATTAAAAAAGTTAAAATTCGACAAATTCGACACATTTCATTGGTCTGTCATTAATATTATAGGAAAGAAAACCAACCCACTTTCGTTGATTATTTTTCATGCAAAAATATAGAGAAACTTTCAAAAATAAATTGTTATTTTAAAAAACAATCAAAATTCTTCCATCAATTTTTATGGTTTTTTTTACAAAACTAACATACGAATGTCAATTTTTTAAAATGCAAAATTGTAGTTGAAGATCATATACATATAAAAAAAATCATAAATTTATTATTTTGTATTTAAATGATACATTAAAAATAGAGTTGAATGGTTAAAATGGAATAAAGATAAGATAGAGTGCCAAAATAAAATATGAAGGTAAGTTAGAGGGGCTATCTATGTATTTGGCCAAAATTTGACTGTGTACTTTGAAATTCATACTTAAAATGCTATTGAAAATAATAATAGAAAGAGAATAATATTTGTATTAAAAAATAAAATTTGACCTTTATTAACGAGCATATTAATCTTGTATAACGTGTGCGTTATTGAATCAAAATAGATAACTCAATTAATTATTATTTGTGTTTCGTGAATTCAGGATGAGATAAAAATATACATTGGTGTTTAATTGTATATTAAGATAAATATAATTAATAGTCAAAAAAATTAAATTGAAAAACAGTTAAATAATAAAATTTCTTTTTTTTTACCAACTTTTCTCTATGTCAACTTTACAGATTTATTTGAATATTTTTATGAAAATTTACTTGCTTAAAATTTCCACATAATTTACTTAGGAATTTCAAAAATCCTTAGGTAATAATTACCAACAAATATTTTTTCTTTCAATTTTATTTGGTAGAAAAATTTGCAGGAAGTTAGATTATTTGTGATTTTTTTTTTGTATAATCTCCATGAATTTTCACAGAATTTACATTTGTGTTTTGTATTATAGAGATATAAGTTTGATGAGTTAAATATGTCTATTATTTTTTAAAAAAAACGGATGGATGAATGACATAACATGTCAACTAGAATAGAATGAGACTTTTGAGGTATTTCGTATTTTTTTAGGAAAAAAAGTAATAGTTGAGTGATATTATTGTCTTACAAAAATAAAAGTGTTTTGTATAGGCGATTTTCAAAACATGAGTGACTATTTAGGAAAATAATAGAAAGTTTAAGTAACAAAAATAAACTAATCTACTTTTTTTTTTAAAATAAAGAACAAAATTATGATATTGATTAAATGAGTTAAACAAATTTATTATTAAAAAAAAGAACGTTAATGACATGACATGTCAATTAATTAAGAGAGAAGGAAACTTTTGTAGTATTAATTATTTTGGAGAATAATAGTAGCAATATTTTAATCTTAAAATGAAAATAATATTTAAAGACAATTTCTAAAATTTAGATGATCATTTATGAGTCATTTGGGGTGAGGTATAAGTTATAATAATCCAAAGATAAAATGTATAGTTATTTTACCCCTTTATTTGTGTAACGACTTGTTCCCGTCGTTATAGAAAAGCCATCGGAGAGAAATTTTGGGCCAGAAAACTTTTTGGTAGTAACTTGAAAATTTCTAGTCTAGTCCAGATTTGGACGAAATCGAAGTCAGTGAGGTCTAGGGAAATCTGGTAACAAATGAGAGATCTAATAATGATTTTGATCACATGAATGGATATCTAAGATGTTAAGGAACCCGTACGACTTTACGGAATTGAATTCGGCCGAGTGGAACTCTCAAAATTGATCTTAGCGTGAACGGGTAGTTTCTGAGTGTCATGGGTTGAAGGTGTGTTGTGAAATGGGGGTTTGAGACTCTAATTTTGAGGTTCTTTCTCCGTGTAAGCCACCAGGGCGGGGCTGTTGTGGCGGGATGGGGGCCGACATAGCAGGCCAATCGCGAATTAAGTTGGAAATAAACTCCCCAAAAACGTCTTTATTCTGCAAACTTCGTTCTTGAGAGCTAGGAGACGACCCCATGTATTTTCTTGACGGGTTTTCACCTTTTTTGAGGCTAAAGGTAAGGTTTTCACTCCCCGAATTCGTTTTTTGATCCGTAGAATATAAATTCATGGGTAGTTATTGTTAGAGGAAGGTTTTTGAACTATTTTGGATGGTGGGAAAAGCCCTAGCTGCACCTTAGGATCATAATTTGGGTCTTGGGTTATTGGGTTTGTCATAATCCGGGTAAATTAAACCTTAATTATTAATCCCTGTATTGAATTGGTTGTTTGTAGACCTAGAGCAGGCGGAAATAATTCGAAAAGGGAAGAATCAAGTTTCTTAGGAGGGTTCAAGCTTTGTTCGAGGTAGGTGATGGTTGTGATTTCATGTTGGTGTGATGTATGTTAGTAATTACTTCGTTTTAATGCATGTATGTATGCAAATGTTGCATTATTGATCACACTAATTGTAAATGAGTATGAATAAAGAATTGTATGCCATGAATCAACTCTTGATGGTATGATTATGAGAATGTACATTGTGATTGTGGTTTGTTGAATGGATCGGGTATTACATTCCAATACACTAACTTGGATCGGGTGCCACGTTCCGGCGCATATATGGGATCGGGTGTCACATCCGGCATACTAACTTGGATCGGATACCACGTACTGGTACACAAACAGTTTGGGTATGATTTCCATGAGAGGACCATTGACTTGGCATATATGTGTATTATAGAGAATGTGGAATTGTTACTAATATTGTATATGTTCGGTATATGCCTGTTTTATAATGTTGTGGTTACTTGCATGTGTTTCATCTATTGGGATAGCTGGGTGGTCCTACCAGTACATTGTGGTTGTATACTGATATTGCACTTGCTCTTTCTTTGTTGAGTACATGGCATCTTCAGGCGGCTACTGACAGACCTCGTTTAGAAGATCAATGAGCAATCGAATTCAACGATGAGCCAGTTCTTCCGGGCTGCCATGACTTCTTCTTTTGTTTATGTCCACATCTTTGGATGTAGACTAGTGCTTTAGATTCCTTGTGTTAGTTTGGGGTTGTTCCCCTTCTTGTTTAGACCTATGGTTCTTGTTGGAATTTTGGTACATTGACTTTCGGGTTCTAGGCATTATTTCTGCATTTGGTTGTTAGACTTTTGTTGGAGTTTATGGAAACTCCCTATTTTCCTTTTCTTAGACATTTAAACCTGTTTTCGTATCTTTAAATGCCTTAGTTTTTGGTTGAGTTGTTGAGTTTGGTTTGTAATAATGGTTCTCCCACCGGAGGGTTAGTGTGGGTGTCAATCACAACGGCCTGGGTCATGACAATTTGGTTGGAAGTATTAAATAGTCATGAAATTATTTATCATTTTTACCAACTTTTTAGTATGTCAATATTATAGATTTATTTGAATATTTTTATGAAAAATTACTTGCTTAAAATTTCCAAATAATTAACTTCGGGATTTCAAAAATCCTCAGGTAATAATTACCTACAAAGATTTTTTCATTGAATTGTATTTGGTGGAAAAATTTGCAGGAAGTTAGATTATTTGTGTGTTTTTTTGTATAATCTCCATGAATTTATATTTGTGTTTTGGATTATAGAGACATAAGTTTGATGAGTTAAGTATGCCTATTTTTTTTAAAAAATGAATGGTCTAATGACATAACATGTCAACAAGAATAGAATGAGACTTTTGAGGTATTTAGTATTTTTTAGGGAAAAAAAAGTAATAGTTGAGTGATATTATTGTCTTAAAAAAATAAAAGTATTTTGTACAGGTAATTTTCAAAACATGAGTGACTATTTAGAAAAATAATAAGTATAAAGTTTAAGTAACAAAAATATTTTTAGAAGCATACAAATTTCTTCTTAATAAACTATTCTACTTTTTTTGTTTAAATATAAAGAACAAAATTATGATTTTGATTTAATGAATTAAACAAATTTATTATAAAAAAACACTTTAATGACTTGACATACCAACTAACAGAGAAGGAAACTTTTGTTGTATTAAGTATTTTGGAGAATAATAGTAGTAATATTTTAATCTTAAAATGAAAATAATATTTAAAGACAATTTCTATAACTTAGATGATCATTTAGTAGTCATTTAGTGTGAAGTATAAGTTATAATAATCTATAGATAAAATGTATAATTATTTTACCCTACATTTGATTGGAAATATTAAATAGCGATGAAATTATTTATCCCACCATTCATGAATAAGTTATCTCATATATATGATGAGATAACTATCATATGATAGCTTATCCAGCATAACTTACTCACAATCAAACGAGTAGTACTTATCCCATCACAATAATAAAAATGATAGAAAAATTAATCAATAAATACCTTATTTCTCCGATTAAACATGAAATAAAATAATTCTATATTTTATTTCGGCGATCTTATAGCTATATTCAAATGAATTTTAAAGATAGAAGGTGAATGGTGGGTGGGGGTGTGGGTGTCTGATGAGTGATCGGAACAGCACCGCCGCGTCTTTCACTTTTTGGGTCAGAGAGCGCCTCCAATAAATTGTTTGATTGGATAAATACCAATTAATCACAAATTTTATCCACTTGCCTCGTTTTCTGCATTATCTCCTTTTTTTTTTTCCTTTTAAGATACTCTATTATTTTTCTCTTCGAAGAAAGAAAAAAGGAAAGAGAAACTTTAGCCAACATGATGAGAAGTCAACAGGATCAACAATCTAAGCTTCTTTATGAGCTTTCTACTTTGATTTTCAACATTCTCCGATCTCCAACTACGCCGTTCGAGTTTTCCGATCAGTCGCCGGTTGTCCAACGCAGTACACAGTTGCCGCCAGTGAGGCCGATGCAGCAGATTACTCCCGCGGGTTTTGCTTCCCTGCTTCTCGGTATTTCTATGGCTTTGATGCTATGTGGATCTGTAACGTTCTTCATTGGGTTTTTCATGATGCCGTGGATTCTTGTGTTTGTGATGGTTTTGTATTTAGCTGGAATTGTTTCTGTTTTGTCAATGATTGGACGAGCTATTTTCTGCCCTATGCCTTCATCTCAATCGCATAGTCAACGTAAGGATTGTTCTCCTCTACAGTTTTTTGATTCTGAGTCTTCTCTTTCTTTGTAAAATTTGCACTTTTTAGTTATTGATTTGGGAATTCCTTATCTGTTCAGCTTGGAAACTCTATTTTTTGTTATGTCTCGCGCTTGTTTGCCCTGTTACTGGCACGGGATTATTATGAGCTCTCTTTTGATCTATTGTGAATGTTTCATTTATATGTTCTGTTCGTTAGATTTCATTTTAATAGTGTTGACTAGTTTTGGAATAAAGATCTAGGTTATATTTAAAACTCTTACTATAGTAGTCTAATGATTTAGCAGGTTAATTACATTATTTGCTAGGTATCAGCTCATATAAGTTACTCTTTAATGATGAAATCAGGTGTTATTGTATAAGTTTGATGATTATATACTAGCTGATACCAGTATGCAGCTATGCTAATCTAATCGAATCGAAATGGAAACTATGACTCTATGAGATGGTTGATTAATTAACTTATAATGGCTTCAGATTGGCTAAAAACAAGTTAAAACTCTTATAAAGGTGTGAAGGTTTGGCCCGGGAGGTTTGGACAGGAATGAATGTTTCCATGGAAGTGGATGTAGAAACTTTATTTCTTGAAAGAATGAAAACTGGAAAGGTGAGGTAGCTTGGTGAGTTCTGTGGGTAATGTTTTCTGATAGTTCTTTTGTTAAGATCTCATAATTTGGATTTGACACCTTTATATATCAGAGTTATCGTCATCTGTTCTCCTTGTACTTCATATTTGTGATTTTGTGAATATGATTTCATTCTCTCTATGGTCTCCTAATTTACTGGCCGCCACATTTCTTATGCAAATTGGCTTAATATGTTAAAAACCAAATCGCCTCATTAATTTTGCCTGCTTTCCAAACTTAAGGAGGGGGTGGTATTTCTCTATATAGGATTCTTGGTTTCTTTGGGCTTTCCAATATAGTATTAGCAACTATTTGGCCTGGATTATTTTGTCCACATGTATCAGATTGCCTTGTTTTTTGTTACTTTCGTCAACTTGGCATCCATGTTTCTTAGGCTTTTCAGTAGCAGAGTTAGTGGAAGTATAAGGAAAATAGTAACAAGAAGATCAACTGCCAAGAGTGGGGAAGGGAATGGGAGTGTTTTTCACTTTGCTAAAGTTTGATTAACTGTATCTAGAAAAACAAATATAGTATATTAGTACAAAGTCTAACTCGACATTACAGAATTTTGTCCATTAAGAATGAGTAATAATTTATAACATATTTTAAGGTATAAGAACTTATTTTGCATCAGAGTTGTAATTTATGATGGTGCATGTTAATGGAATTGAATGAGGGCATGCATAATTTGTGGAGAAGAGGGAACTTGTTTGTGAGGGAGGCTTCAAACAGTTCTTGGCACCTGTATTCGCAAATTCTCAGCATGTGCATTCGACCTAAATGAGAAGGCAACCTAATTTTAAGCTTCTCATTGACAAGCTGTGTAGTCAGTACAACCAGCTTATGAAATCATCAGTTGTTGGATATGGATATAACCAGTTATTCAAGTGATTAAGATTCATAACTTATATCTAAATTTATGACGGGACTTCACTAGAGCTCATTTAGCTTCTACGTGTCAAGGAAAATAGTATGGTAGAGATATCAGCTTTGTTTTCTCCTCCGCTCAATCAGTCTAGCTGTATAAGTGTGCTGTTTTCCTTCATGTGGGATGTTGAGATGCTGGTGTGGTGATAGTTCAGTTCTTGTGATATCTCATATTTCATATCTCTGTTGACTTGTTTATTTGTAGTTTTTATGTTTCTCCTGAATGGTTGAAGTGTTGAGATTCTCATGTCGTGCAAGATGTATTCTCCAATTTTATGTGCTACTCCATGTTTGATACTTTGTGTCTTTTGGCTCATTTTGTTTGTATTCTGTATTGCAGCGTGTAAAATATTGTGAAGCAATTTAAACATTTGTACTGGGACAGAACAACGGTGAGGAGCATGGTCGAACTCTTTACTAGATGCAGTTTCCTGCAATGCTTAAAGAATGTATGGAGGATGAATACATTTCATGCTGGTGTTTGTTGCAGGAGGACAGCTTAGGCATTTGAAAGTGAAAATATTTGATTAGCTATAACTTTACTGTATAGAAAACTCAAAATGGATGTGCCATGTTCTTTTATCTTAGTGCAACTATGTTGTATTTCTTGTGCCATTACAGATGTAGAAACAACACCCATTTCGCCCTGAGTGATATTGCAAGTACAATCAAAGCTTAATTAGTATTTCCCTGATATAGGATCATGCCAATTGGAACAATATTTGAACTTGAAAACTCACTATCTGCTATTGCATAATGTATTTTTTTAAACAAAAGCCACATATAACTATGGTGTATGTTATTGATTTATTCAGTTTTGAAACATAGGTATTTTATAAATGAGAGATATTACTTTTCTAGCAGAAGGGGAAAAAATTCACAAGTAGCATTTCTACGTTAATTGTATTTACTTCCCGATTACCTGTATCTTTGCTTTTACTAATATCATCTTAGGAGTATTTTGGTAGAGTGTAATAGCAAGAATAACGCATGCATTAACTTTGTGGTATATTTTTCATGTTATGCATAACAAATTTTTGCACTAGTTAAAAATTATTATTTTTAAAGTCGAGTGTGGAATTTGATTTTTAATGTAAAGTTAGGGTGTAAACGATTTTTGCCCTAATTCTTAAAGTCTTACCCAACAACTCATTTAATACTTTGAACCAGAGGAAGTCAAATTAAATCGTTACTTTAACATCCGTTCGGTTTCCATTAAAAGCATAGAAATGAATGATCATTTACGTGCGTGCATTTGTTTGTCCAAGATTGGAATTAAGTTAAATATATACTCTCTCAGTCTCATATTAATTTACCACCTTCTTTTTTACACGTATATTAAGAATTAAGAAATCACAAATAGGAGAGTAGTTTTACCAATTCACCTCTTAAGAACTTTTTTGGAACTTTACAAACATGTGTGAACATTTTCAAAAAGAATTAATGACAAGGGTAATACGGCAAAAAAATTAATTTGTTTTTTTGATTTAGTAAGCTGATCAACTAATTTAAGACAACTATTTTTAGTATATTGATCAACTAATATGGGACATAGGGAGTATAATTGAATTAGAAAGATGTCATTGTACAAAAATAACTCTTATATTTTATTTACAGATTTTTTCAATGATATTCTATCGATTTTTGCGAAGATTAGGGTGTCAAAATTAGTCGCCCAACTTGTTTATATTTGACCGAGTAAACAGCCTACTTATTTTATTAACTAGACTCATTTTGAGCTATTACTTCACCCAATAATTAGGGGAATATGCAACTCATATTGATTTATGAGAAATTTAGTCTAAATATTTTTAAATCGTTACTTTAACATCCGTTCGGTTTCCATTAAAAGCATAGAAATGAATGATCATTTACGTGCGTGCATTTGTTTGTCCAAGATTGGAATTAAGTTAAATATATACTCTCTCAGTCTCATATTAATTTACCACCTTTTTTTTTACACGTATATTAAGAATTAAGAAATCACAAATAGGAGAGTAGTTTTACCAATTCACCTCTTAAGAACTTTTTTGGAACTTTACAAACATGTGTGAACATTTTCAAAAAGAATTAATGACAAGGGTAATACGGCAAAAAAATTAATTTGTTTTTTTGATTTAGTAAGCTGATCAACTAATTTAAGACAACTATTTTTAGTATATTGATCAACTAATATGGGACATAGGGAGTATAATTGAATTAGAAAGATGTCATTGTACAAAAATAACTCTTATATTTTATTTACAGATTTTTTCAATGATATTCTATCGATTTTTGCGAAGATTAGGGTGTCAAAATTAGTCGCCCAACTTGTTTATATTTGACCGAGTAAACAGCCTACTTATTTTATTAACTAGACTCATTTTGAGCTATTACTTCACCCAATAATTAGGGGAATATGCAACTCATGTTGATTTATGAGAAATTTAGTCTAAATATTTTTAAATCGTTACTTTAACATCCGTTCGGTTTCCATTAAAAGCATAGAAATGAATGATCATTTACGTGCGTGCATTTGTTTGTCCAAGATTGGAATTAAGTTAAATATATACTCTCTCAGTCTCATATTAATTTACCACCTTTTTTTTTACACGTATATTAAGAATTAAGAAATCACAAATAGGAGAGTAGTTTTACCAATTCACCTCTTAAGAACTTTTTTGGAACTTTACAAACATGTGTGAACATTTTCAAAAAGAATTAATGACAAGGGTAATACGGCAAAAAAATTAATTTGTTTTTTTGATTTAGTAAGCTGATCAACTAATTTAAGACAACTATTTTTAGTATATTGATCAACTAATATGGGACATAGGAAGTATAATTGAATTAGAAAGATGTCATTGTACAAAAATAACTCTTATATTTTATTTACAGATTTTTTCAATGATATTCTATCGATTTTTGCGAAGATTAGGGTGTCAAAATTAGTCGCCCAACTTGTTTATATTTGACCGAGTAAACAGCCTACTTATTTTATTAACTAGACTCATTTTGAGCTATTACTTCACCCAATAATTAGGGGAATATGTAACTCATATTGATTTATGAGAAATTTAGTCTAAATATTTTTTAAAAAAAATATGTTCTTTATTTGATATAATTTTTACAGCCATAATATAAGGGAATATAAATTATAAGAAAATAAATTAATATTTTAAAACTTAGTAAGAATTATGTGAGTTGGATTATGATCTGACTTTTAGCTCATTTAAGCCTAAATAACATTTAAACGAATTAATAATTCATTCATTTATTAACTCAATCATTTTAATATTCTTAAATTCAATTCAATCCATTCATTTATTACCTTAATCTTTCATTCGGCTAACCTCTTTTCAAAGCAAACGTTGAAAGTCAAGCGCACAATTGCAATTTGTAGCAACCGTAACTCATGAGACAAGCTAAACAATGGATATGCATAAATATTACTCCTTCTATCTAAATTTATGTGACACATTTCAAAATTTGAAATTTAAACAGATTTATTTTTTACCGTAAATTTTTCACATATCTAAATATTTTGAATTATCAATTATTGTGACTTATAGTATTTTTTTACGTAGTTTACAAATATATAAATTTCATTTTAAAAAAATTGAAGATTCCATTAGAATATCACCCAAACTTAAACGGGTTAACTTTCGAAAAACGAAATGTGTTACATAAATTGGGACATATGAAGTACATTTAAACACTAGTTGAGCTAAGCCTTGTTTAATTGAATATCTCAAACTCTTAATAATGTCTCTTAATTAGACACTTTCAATTCAAATTTTGAAAAAAAAGGTGTAATGCATGTTTTCATTGATCTATTAGACAATTAAATTAACTCTACAAAATATGTCATCTTCTTTAATTATAAGCATAAATCCTATGTAGAAAATGTTTGAGTTTTGTATCTTATTGAGACAAATGCGTATAATTAAAGAAAATAATGTATATTTTATGTGATTAACATAACTACCTACTAGGAACAGAGGCAAAAAAAAATAAAAAAAAATTCCAAAAAGGTGTCTAATTAAAACAATTTATCAGGAATTGAGATATTAAATTGAAACACGATTTAATTCGATAAAATTAATACAATTAAAAGAAAAAAAAAGAAGGCACATCTCTAAAACCTCAATAAATTAACCAGTATGGATGTGAACTCCGATAGCAATAAGGAAGATAGTAATGACTCCAAAATAGAGGACAGTATGAACAAGTATAGAGAGTCCACTAGTCTGCATGTTCCCAAACTCAACAATTTTGTGTCTACCAGGCAACTGAAACAATAAGCCTGGACTCAATGGCACAAATAACACCACTGCAATCAACACTGGCCCCCAATCAGACATCTCTCTCTTCTTTTTTTTGCCTTATTTATTTGTATATATATTGTTTCTTTGTCTACTCTGTTATTTGTCTTGTATATATATAGTTCAAATTGTTTTTCTTCTTTTTAACATGACAACATAATTAAGTATTATTGCATTAAGAAAGGAATCAAATGATCAGTGAGGATGCTTAGATTTGCGGAAAGGGAGTTTGATTCGCTTTTTCACTTATATTAATGGTTAGGGTAATTATTAAAATATACTTTTTTAATAGCTCTAAGGTAAGTATATACTCAAATTGATGCATAATATGGAAATACCAGATTCACTATTTGTTATGAATACTCCAAATTGTGGTTTGTGGATGTTCACTACTACTTCTACCATTTTGTACTTAGAAGTTCGCAATTAAACAAGTACAGGTTTATAAGTAAATTTCAAAAATATCATGCAATAGTTTCTTTAAAAAACTTGTAATTAAGTAACTTGTAAGTAGTTTATGCAAGCTGAGGTAATATTCAATTTTGAGGGTTAGCTTTGCGTTCTTACTATTGAAGTAAAAGATCCTACGAGAGCATTTCTGTCTTCAGACGTAGTATAGGACTTCTGTTTCGCACAGGATTGGGAGTAAGTCGTTTGGATTTTTGGCGTCGTTTCATTTGTCGTGGTCTGGAAGCAATTTCTTCAAACAATTGAATAAAAATATTTTCTGAAAAGCCGGATCGCCCAAAAATGGTAATGGAAAACAAAGGCAACAAATAAATTCATTTTCTAGTCTTGTGTATGAAAAATCTAGTTGGGAGTGTCAGAAATAGGCACTGCAACACGCAAATCCAAATAATCGGGTTCTAATATAAATATCAAACATCAAATGAAAACAAACAAAAAAAAAAAAGACATTGCGATACAATTAATATATTCTAATCTCATTTTATATGTATGCTGTTGGATTTTCGGTCTGAATGACGTATGATCCCATGACCATTGGGAAGGGTTGGTAATGGAAAATCTAGACCTATGTCCCACACATAGGAAGAAGGGAAAAATATTGGTTTAAATGGAAAAACACTTTTATTCTAGGAAGATGGGAAAAATTTATATGAAATAATTCGAAGGGTTTATACAATAACATACTCAGTCGAAGGATTTATAAATCTAAAAAAAAAAGTGTTCCGACTTGATTCATGTGTGTTGATTGCCCTCGATGGGCGATATAATTACACAATTGATGCACGCTCAACAAGGGCCGTAGGAGTTTTCAAGAGAACTTTTAGATTTTATAAAGATGGGGTAAATCGATCTCATTTCTTTCTCGACTTTTCATGTCATCTTCCTCAACAACAGCCTAACTGTGGCCACTTCCTTAGTTCTATGTTTTTAAACTGGACAATCCAGAATAGCAATCGATATTTCTTCATAAGATAATTCATTTGTGGTTTGTACATCCTCTATAGGCAAAATACACGAGGGATCTCTCATGAACTTCCACAACATTGATACATGAAAAATGGGATGTACTACCTCCAATTCAGAAGGTAACTCCCGCTCGTATGCCACTTGACCTATACGTTGAATGATTTTGTACGGATCAATAGATCTTGGGCTAAGTTTTCCTTCTTGAAAAACCTCATGACACTTTTCATAGGTGAAACTTTTAGGAAAACTCAATTGTCAACTGCGAACTCTAAATTTGGGCGCCAAACCACTGGAAATCCAACTCTTCGATGAAGAACCACAAACCAACCTATATGACTCGTAGTCTATTTGACGAACCATACAACTCCCTCGTAGACTCCAATCTCTAAAAATGACCAACTTTCTGAGGATGCATCCACGAGACCCAACTACGGCTCGTGTAACCAACCATAGGTCGTATTGGTGACTCATATAAAGTTGCCAGAGACTTGACAAATTTTAGGATTTCTAAGGTACCAATCACGATCAGTTTCCACGAGCCATAGACCCAAGTACTGCCTATAAACCCCACTCATGAACCACTACACCAGCAACTTTTGCACCTACAATTGTGATTCAAATATTTTTTTTATCAAAAAAGCGATTGACTAAGTGATGCAGTCCGTCAGTTTCACTAAATATCTGAAGATCAAATTGGAATTTCTATTTATTTCCCCCTTTCTTCTTCTCTCTCTTCTTTCTAAAGATACCCAACTCAACCATCACTACCTCCCTTACTCACGCCATCGTCGTTGCCCTCCCTGCCTCACCAACCTGCCGTCGCTCAACCCTAGCCTCTTTCACATCAAATTAAGGTTAGAGTTTTTGTGTATACGTTAATTTTTTTTTTAATTTGAGTAATTTTTTATTTTTTAGGTAGTTTATTCTATTTAGTTTGTTGAACTTATATTATTAACATAGTTAGTTTATATATTTGATTGTGAATTAGTGAATGAAATTATAATTTTAATTTTAGGGCTTTAGTTTGAATTGAGGCTTTTTTTTTGTTAGATTATGAATTGGGTATTTTGGAGTTGGAATTGAAGTAATTTTGAAGTTAGAAGTTAGAACTAAGAAGTAATTAGAAGTTAGTAGTTAGAACTAGTTGAATTTTTGAACTTAGATACTTGAATAAGGATGTTTGAAAGTTGAATTTAGAAAAATATTGAATTGTATGATTTTTGAAGTTTAGAACAAATTAGAAATTAGATATTCAATGTCATGAACTTGAATTTTACGATTTTTGAAGTTGAACTTAGAATTCTTTTTTGTTTGTATAAATTTTGAACTTTAGACTTTATAACTAATCAATTAGAACATAGAACGTCATCTTGTCATGAACTTAATTGAAATTTAGATACTTGAAGATATTTTACCCTTAGGTTGTGAACTTTAGAAATCTTGAATTGTAGAATTTATGAACTTGTTAGGTTGTGAACTTTAGTATATAATGTGGATGAATTGTACTCTTTTTGAACTAATTAAGCTTAAACTTTATAAATTTTGAATTATTGTAGGATTTATATATGAAGTTGTGAACTTTTGAAATATTGAATTGTAGAATTTATGAACTTATAAGGTTGTGAATTTTAGAAATCTCGATAATATGTAGTCTTTGAACTAATTAAGTTTGAACTTTGGAGATCTTGAAATGTTGTATCTATGAACTTAGGTATATAAATTAGTTAAATATATATAAGCAATTATAATTTTATATTAACAATACAAATTAGTTTAATCTAGTTAATTAAATTTAATTTTAATTGAATATCAATACTTTTGTAGATGAGTCATCTTTTGTGGATGTATAACATGCATTATGAAATTGGTGATAGTTTGAAACCTGAGTTTATTGACGGTGTTAGAGGTTTCATTGAACATGCACTGACACTTGATATTCTTAAGAATAATGGATTGATTAGGTGTCCTTATAGTGCATGTAGGTTCTTGAAATTTTATAATCTAGATACAATCATGGTTCATTTGTACCGTAATGGATTTAAACTTAGATATTTTGTATGAGTTGATCATGAAGAAATAGATGGATTGAATGGTATGTTTTATAATTCGATGCCCGTGGATGAATATAATATGCTTGCACCAAATGGACAAATTAGGGTTGAACGTGATAGGTTGGACATGATAGGGTTCAACATGATAGAGTTCATGAAATGGTCAATGATACTTTCGGAGTTCTAGGTGAGATGGATCACGAACAATATTTTGATGAAGCTCCTAATGCATAAGCATGATGATTCTATGAACAATTAGAAAATGCTAGTTGTCCAGTATGTGAATAGAGTCCACATTCTACCTTGTCAGTTGCAGTTAGATAAATGAATATTTAATCGAATGTTCATAATGCGGCTATGAACTCAATGGTTTATCTTTTAGATGGATTAATTAATTCGGAGTTTAACATACCTAAGAACTTCTATCAGGTAAAGAGTTTGTTTTTCAAGTTAGGATTGTCGTATGATAGAATTCATTGTTGTGTTAATGGTTGCATGTTCTACAAAACTGATAGTTAATTAGAAAATTGTAAATTTTGTGGACATGCTCGTTATAAGATGACTTCTGTTAGAAATATGGTCCAGTTAAGACAATGCATTATTTACCTCTTATTCCTAGGTTAAAGAAGTACACATCGATGAAGTCTGCTCCACATATGAGATGACATCATGAATATAGAAGGTCGTGGGGTGTCTTGTCTCATCCATCTGATGAAGAAGCATGAAAGCATTTTGATAACGTATATTCTGATTTTGCTAGTGAACCAAGAAATATTAGATTGAGATTGTGTACAAATGGCTTCACACTATTCTCTAATGTTGTCTCACCTTTTTCTTGCTCGTTTGTTTTGTTTTTACACCGTGTAATCTTTCTCCTGAAATGTGCATAACAAGTCCCTGCATTTTTAAGTTGTGTTATTTCAGGTCCCCGTAATTCAAAATGTTTGATTGTTGTCTATATACAATCATTGATAGATGAGCTCAAACAATTATGTTTTGAATGCGCAGTGACTTATGATATATCGACTATAGAAAAGGGCCAAAAATATCCTTAGACTATCCAAAAAGGTTTAAATATATCCCTCATTTATCTATTTGACTAAAAATACCCTTCAATCTATCTTTTTGACCTATTTTTATCCTTAAAACTAACATCCATTTTTAATTATTATAATTATAATAATTTATTACATGACATCTTTCTATTGGATAAACTTAAACCTCCAACCCATCAAATTTTTCATTACCCGTCCCGATCCATTTCCACAACTCATGACCCAAACCCAATGTAAAGATACATCTATCTTCCTCTCTTAAACTTAATCCTTTTTTCTTCTTTTCCATAACTTATTATTCAACAATTTCAAGACTAATACCAACTCAAATGCTTAAATTTCTAGTGAATGAGGGGTATAATTAAACTTTTAAAGATAATTCAAGGGTACTTTTGGCCCTTTTCCATATCAACTAAGCATAATTTATTTATGCGTGCTACTTTAATGTGGACTATTAATGATTTTCTGCATACAAAATGTTGTCTGGTTGGATGATAGC